TTTCTGCACCTCTGAGCGTTTGGACAGGACAGACCCATGGGTTACTCAGTTTGAAAATAAATTAAGAAAATATTTTAAAATTAGATGGGCTGCTTTGAGATGTGTGTAACTTTTTGAAAGGCGGAGTATATATGAATTTGTTTCTTAGACAAGTTTTTTGAAACAATGGCAGGAGCTCTGCCTTTCAATTAAGACGAATGAAGTTTATATACAAGCAAAGGTAGCCAAGCGTGGCGCCAAACACTACGAAAGGTTATCCACCCACGCAACGCGGCAGAGTACACACTACCATGAGTCATCGTTACCGAGCATAGTTGCAAAGCAGCTAGCAGCTCCGACTTCCCATGGCAAAACACCGACGACCCATCCTAAGATGTCAGACCAACGGGCCCGAGGCAGGAGGCTGCAACAGGTCATCATTGCCAAGCTCAACAGCTCCGCGAAGAGCAGCTCCGACTTCCTGCCATGATCCCACGCCCTGCCCACGGCGATTGCCGAGCCTCTAAAGCTGAAAACCCAGCAGTCGGAGAAAGAGGGTTCGACACGCGTCATCGTTGCCAAGCTACATCCCCTGATGCAGCAGCTCCGTCTTCACGATGCAGAACTCACCATCTCGCATGAACCGGGCGCCGAGAGGTGGAGGACATCCGCCAAAGGAGACATCACGACCGAGACGAATTTCCACAGCGACGCCTTCAGGAAGGGTACGGCGCCGATTGCGTCGCCGTCGCTTGTCCAGGAATGGACCGGGTTTTCACCCGTGGAAGACATGGCTGGGGGCACAAGAACGCGATGCCCCCAACAAGGAAAACGGTGCCCACAGGCGTCGCCGTCGCCAAGGCTTTCGCCCGAGGTGCCCCTAGCACATACGTCGAGTCAAGATGCTAGACCGTAGCCTGTCGCCACCGTAGTCGTCACTGCCATCCCGCAGAAGCTTCTCCAGAGGGGCATCGACGCGCCAGCTACTCACCGCAACCGCACAGCTGCATCGGCCCCCACCCCCTCCGATCGGGCAACATGCAGAACTAGACTTACCCTGCCACGCGCATCACCCTGCCACACGCCGAAGCCGTCGCCAGCTATCGTCGCCGGCTCAAGCATCCGCCGTCGACGCTGCCGACCTCCGCCAGCCACCGTCAGGCGCATGCCCCACCACGGGTGCCGCCCCCTGCCCCGGGGGCACCGGATGTGGCCGTGGCGCCAGACCCAGTGTCCCCAGCAGGCGCCGCTGCCTCCACGCCATGGTCGAGGAGGAAAGGGGGAAGCGGAGGAGGAAAAAGGAGCCCCCGCCACCACCCGGCGCCTGCACGGGCACTGCCCAGCGCTGCCGCAGCAGGTTGGCCCACCGAGCCCCACGCAGCTCGCGCGAGGGCACGCCCCGCCGTCCTGCTACCGCACACGCCGCCAACACTGCCGAGCGCGAGGAAGAGGCCCGCCCCAGGCCGACGCAGCCGCCACCACGCTCGCCCCTGGGCGTAGCGCCCCGTACCCCGATCCGGCGACAACGCGGCGCCTTGGACCGGAGCCGCCGCCACCGATGCCCAGCGCTCGCCCAGGCGCTGCCCGCCGAAGATCCGTGCGAATCTGACCCTTGGACCGCCGGATCCGGTCGCCGAAGCGAGGAGACCACCACCGAAGACGCCGGCGCCGCCACCAGCCTCAGTGACCTCGCCGAGCCCTAGGAAGTCGCATGCGAGCTCGTCCTCGACCGTCGCAGCTTCCACCACGAAGAAGAGCCTCGCCGTCGCCTTCCCAGCAAGCGCACGGCCATGCCGGCGGCCCGCTCCGGCGACGGCGCGGCTGGAGAGAGGGAGGGAAGAAAGAGAGGCACTAGGGTTTAGGTCGCCTCCCGTGTCGCCTGCGTGGGGGCGACGCGGGGGCTGATCTTTGTCTGCAATGTCCCCTTTCTTAGACAAGTGTCTCATGTTATTCCGTGTAACTATTTTGAAAGGCAGAGTATATATGAATTTGTTTCTTAGACAAGGAGTTTTGGCTGGGTTTAGGTAGACACGTACTTATTGCACGTGTTTAGTCACCGGTAATAATAAACAATCAACAGTGAGTAGACCAAAAAGAGAGGGACCTGCTCCGCCGATTGTCACGGTAGGTCATAGGGTAATGCTTTTCTCAAGCCGTTTGTCCGTGCGGACGGCTTCTCCATCCAAAAATTGATGATTTCTTATTCTTCCTTCTCTGTTTCGTCAGTAGCAAGTAGATATTGCGCTTCAAAGCGTATGTTACCAGAGTATGTTTTAAGTGTTTCAGATGTATTAGACGTATGTTGTAAGTGTTTTATATGGATGTTGCAAAAGTAGATCGAGAAATTGCATATGTTGCAATGGTTGTACACGTATGTTGCAAGCGTTCGTTCCCAATATTTTATCTGTTTTTCAGACGTATGTTGCAAGTGTGTTTATTTAGATGTTGCATATGTTTCACATATATATTGCAAGTGTTTTATCTGTATGTTGCGTATTGCCCTGTTCGCTTGGCTGATAAGCCATGGCTGAAAGTACTGTTGACTGATTTGTTGTGAGAGAAAAATAATGTTCGTTGGCTGAAAAAGTACGACTTATAAGCCAAGCGAACAGGGCATATGTTTGCAATGGTTTTCAAGTATTTTTAGGTGTTTTGCAATTGTTTCAGACGCATGTTTTAAGTGTTTCATTTATCTTGAGACATAGGTTGCAAGCGTGGTATCTGGATGTTTTAAAAGTAGATTAGGTATTGCACATGTTGCAATGTGACCCGCCTGCTGTAACTGCTGGAAGGGGCACGAGGGGTCGGGTGGGGCGTAGATGCCACGTGGGGTCATACGGTACACAGAGTGCAGGCGTAGGAACGGGTGCAAGCGCGGATGTCCAAACACGGGTATCCATCTGGACATCTAGACGCTCGCAGCGCCGTAGGCCATAAGGGTAAGGCCCTGTTTAGTTCCCTCCCAAAATGCCAAATTTTCAAGATTCTCCGTCACATCGAATCTTTGGATGCATGCATGAAGCATTAAATATAAATAAAAAATAAAACTAATTACACAGTTTAGACGAAATCCACGAGACGAATCTTTTAAGCCTAATTAGACTATGATTGGACACTAATTGCCAAATAACAACAAAAACGCTACAGTGTCATTTTGCCAAAAAAATTCTAGCAACCAAACTGGCCCTAATTTTAGTACTGCAGGTTAGTATAACTGTGTTTGTACAAGAGCATCTCTCACGGCATGCACCTGTACTGCGGAGTATCAATCAGCTATGGATATAGTTGCAATGTGCATACTATGTTCTATCTAAATGTTGATATACGATTGTAACATGAGAATCAACAATGAACACGACCACTCTCTGTAATGAAAATATATATTATGGACCTGCAAATTCTTTTGCTATACTGAATGCTTGCACCAAAAAAAAATCTATATACTTGACTTTGCATATGGTCGTCCATGCGCTGTGTTGGCTGGCATTTTCTGTGTTGTCTCTTCTCGCACCCAGTAGTACAGAATACAATCTCAACAAGCTGCTGCTTCCACGAGAAAAGAGGAAGCTTGATCAAGTTCGAAGCAATCTGATGATGAACACTCGATCAATTCCAGTGATCCATTCATGCAGAAGACGGGAGTAGAATAATGAATGAACTAGTACTTGGCACAAGGCAAGACTGAATAACAGAGCAGCTAGTCCCCTCTGCCGCTCTGCCTCCGGCGATCTTCTCCTTCGCGGAAGGCGCTCTTTTCCGTCGGCGCACGCCGTTTCTATCGTTCCTGCCTCCTGCGCCGCTTCTACATTTTATTTTACTCCGCCGCCGCTTGCGTCGGACTGTCGGAGCGCGGGAGTGGGCCGCGCAGCGCTTTTCCTGCCGACAGCTGCTCTGTGTTTCCGCGGCGTTCAGTTCTCTTCCTGCCATCGGATGCCGAATTAACGGCGCTCCGCCTCGAACCGTCGGACCTCCCTCGTTTTCCTGTCCACAACCCCGTCCCCTCGACGGCTCGACGATAGGGGGGACTTGTGGGGAGATAGCTACGCCCTTCCGGTGTTCCTTCTCGCTCCTCGTCTTTTGGACTCCGGCAGCGCCCCCACCCACCCACCCACACACACGCGGCCGCCCTCAACACCCGCCAGAGAAGGTAAATCCCACCCGCACACTAAAACCCTGACCACAGTAATCCCATCTTCTTTTGTGAAACATTTGTGACTTGTGGGATTGCTAGATGTTTTATACGGAGAGAAGTAGGTATCCTCCAAGTCAATGTCAGGTGAGCAGGCTGGTGGGTGCAGATTACTCCAACACCATGTGATTTGCTCAATTTGGTAGACGAACTAGGCTAATCGGTGCTTGTACGGTCCCAATACAGCCATGGTCATGTATTTGTCCACGGCGCACCCATGCTTATTTGGGTTCGCTTGAGACGCCCCAAGCGAACCAAGCCAAGAGTTGTTGTATTGTTAGTGCAGGCGCAGCAATCTACATGTTAATGCAGTAAGCAGAGTCACACTGAAATGAGCTCTGATCTAAGATCTTGTATGTGAACTGTGAACAGCCATCTCGACTCCTGGATCCACCATGAGCAGCCAACCTGATAGAGTTTCAAACCTTTACTACTTCTAAACTACTATATGCGAGTATGTGACTAACTACTTATACAACAATGTGGACGTTTTGTTAAGGAAGTGTGAAAAAAGAATGCTTGCAAAATGTATGTGGTAGTTTCGTCTTGCTTGCATGCCCTCTCGAAGAAAATTGCAAGTTGTCTTGCACTGCCCGGTACTAAAGATCAGTGTGTTTCCTTCCATTATGACATTAATGGCCCATGGCCAAATTTCTGTAGGTTATAGAGTTGTACTTGTGACAACAATTCATTGAGCAGCTATGCAGTTCTGTTGACCAAATGCTCCTAGATATCAGCCTTACTAGCTGTCTTCAGTATAAGAAAGCATTGTGAAATGAGGTACTCAAGGTTATCAGTTTATCACCTGCGCCTGCAGGAGTGAGAGATAGCAATGGCACACGCGGAAGCCGGAGGATCTCTACCAGTGCCAAACGTGCAGGCACTTGCAGAAACCTACAACAGGTCAGATGAACAGATCCCTGGAAGATACATCAGGGACGAAGAGGGTGCTGAGGAGGTTATCATTGATCATGATATCTCTTCTGCAATTCCAATCATCGATGTCAACAAGTTGCTGGATCCGCAGTCATCCAAAGAGGAGTGTGCTAAGCTTGGATCTGCCTGTAAACACTGGGGTTTCTTTCAGGTATACAAAGCGAAGCTCTTGCTGTTTCATAAAGTAATATTTAGGTCCAACCTAAGTTTAAGCTGTTGCATTACAATTGCTCTTTGGAGTCGATTTTGTTTCACATCACAGGGAAAAAATGTCAATAGCTACAAGTTAGTGGTGCATAGCTATCTTCAGTCTCAGCATTTTTTCCAAACCCGGAAAAGCTTGTTTATCGGTTGATAATAAAAGAATGTACAAATTTTTTTTTGGTCTACACTGGTTGAAATCACAGGTCATTAACCATGGTGTACCAAACGAAGTGATCTGCAACTTCAGGAACGACATGACTGAATTCTTCAAACAACCACTAGAAGCAAAGAACGCGTACTCGATGATACCAGGCAATCTTCAAGGGTATGGCCAGCACTTTGTTGTTTCTGAGAACCAAAAACTGGACTGGGCAGATTTGCTTGGCCTCGTGCTCCGTCCGATCGATTCAAGGAACATGAGGTTCTGGCCTAGTCACCCTCCATCTTTTAGGTTTGCCTGAACTCACAAAACCACTATTCTACATCATGAATCTTGATGTAAATACCACTTCACTATTTGTCCTTTTGACTACATCCTTGCATGATTACTCTTGACAGGAACTCTGTAGATAGGTACTCTTCTGAGGCAGCGAAACTAGTATCTTGCTTGCTGAAGTTCCTGGCTATGGACATGGGTGTTGAGCCGCAGTCTTTCCTGGAGATATTCAGAGGCCAGCCTCAAAGCATGCGGATGACCTACTACCCTCCATGCAAGCAAGCCAGCAAGGTGGTAGGTCTGTCACCACATACTGATAGAATGGGACTGACGCTGCTACTCCAAGCAAATGATGTTCAGGGGCTGCAGATCCGGAAGGATGGCAAGTGGGTTGCCATAAACGCCATTGATGGTGCATTCATCGTTAATGTTGGAGACACGCTTGAGGTAAGTATTATAGTAATTATATGTGCCTGGTCTCTACATCATGTTATGTGAGCATTGTAGTTGTTTAGAGTGTTGCTTGGTGCTAGTAAATTTGGTTATGGAAGCTGAAGGTGTTTGCCTACTCATGATAGTCAATTAATCACTAACAGATTCTAAGTAATGGGAGATACAAAAGCATTGAGCACAGGGCCATGGTGCACCCAACCAGGGAGCGCATGTCAGCAGCACTGTTCCACGCGGTGTGCTCAGATGCGATGGTCGGCCCTCTGCCAGAGCTTGTGAAGAACGATGGTGAGGCACGGTATAGCTCAATTAGTTTCGTGGATTTCAGAAAGCGCTTCTTCGCGTCAAAGCTTGATGGTACGAGTAACCTGGAGAGCTTGAAGATTTAATGGTTGGCGTTTTTTTCCCTGGTGTTTGTACTGTGCTGTCTACTTGCACAGCTTGGTCTTCTTCCACTTCTGTCCCCCAAGCTTCCTTCGGTACATAAGGATTTGAATTTTCTCCTGCATATGGGGGTGTAAAAGTATAGCCAGTCTCATAGTCAATACTCTATTGAAAGAAGAACTGTTGCTTCTTGCTTGGAACTCCTCTTGGTGGAGCTGGGAGAAACGACTGCAGGCAGGCTAGCACAGCCCAGGCTGCATGTTGTGGCTTGGTCTCTTGTGAGATGTGATAAACTGATAGTCTAAATAGTGCTGGAAGCCTGAGACCCTGGGTGAGTTGTTATGCTAGTTGATAGATGGGTTGCTGTGCGCTGTGTTTCATTCCAGAGCAATTGGTGTGTTGATCTATCATCAGTTGGGTCATCGCTCCGATCAAATTGGCTCATTGCAGCAAGCTTGAGCGAGTAGTGGAGTTAAGTTGGGAATTGGCTCAATCTTTGTACCGAAGTTGTTATGGGGAGAATGGCCTAGTATCTACTAATGTGGTTTTAGGCTAGGTTTCATAAAAAAACTTGAGCACCACTTGTTTTTCTTTATTTCTCCTTACAACAGTACTTGTGGCAGTACCTTTGGCGCCCTTTAGATTATGTAGCATGCAAAAATAAAATAAAATAGAGAGGAGCAAGTTTCTTCAGAGAAGAGTTAGTAATGGCAAAGTGCCGGTGACCGTATTCCATGCATAATGTCAGCACAATCTGCCAATAACGAAACCTGCAGATAAACTGAGACCACCAATACATCTTCAGCGCATAACCAGGATTCGGGATCCTCTATAGATAGAATAATTTCCCCCGAACTGATACCGAGTGCAAAAACATAACAGCATCCTCTGCTTGGTGGAACCCGGTGTCGCCGGAGAAGAAGCAGAGTAATTATCAGCCGAAACACCAACACAAGTGGAAATGCTATGGCCTTTTCTTTAGGAAAAACTCTAAATTACTCTCCTCACGTTTAGGTAATGTCCAGATAACCAATAAACTAATAGCATTTCCAAGAGTCTTTCATAATCTCACTCTCTCAATCATCATTTGAAGAGCCATTTGAATAAAAATCGCTCTTTATATCTTTCAATCCTCCGACACCTTTTCTATATCTTGTGCACACTCTTAAGAGCATATCTTGCTCTCCATCTTTAGCTAGCAAGAAATCCAGAATAGAGGATAGCAATAATTGGAAATACAATTAAAGAAGTTGCGGGGGGGATTTTTTAACCAAAATATATATTCTTATCATTAAAGAAGGATATAGAGAGGCTCTTGTAGTTGCTCTAACGTTTGGTTCATTTTACTCTCTCCAACTATGTCAGTCGGTCCAATTTACCATTAACAAGATTTGTCTTTTCTTTCTACATAGACGTACAAGTTGCTTCATTCGTCCTGAAATATAAGAGATCTAGAGTTCAAAATTTATACCAAATTATAAGGCATTCTAGGTGAACAAACACATCAAAATGCAATATTCACATATCAAATATGGTAATTAGTGAGGGTTATATGCGCCATTTGTATTATCACATAATATGTTCTAAAATCACTTGAACACCTTATATTTCAAGACATGGAGTAAGTTTTAAATTTTTTCAGGTGATAGTGGACATAATAGTTTATATTTATATTAAAAAGATACATAATAAATTTTCATCATTATTTTGACAAGTTGTGACATTTAATAAAATTAAACACTAGAAATGAAATTTGGAATCAAAATTCAACTTGTGCGCAGAGAAACAAAAAGACAAACCTTGTTAGGGTTTTGAACTTGATCAACTGAAATTGTTGAGGGGAGTAAATGAAACTAAACATTAGTTTTTGGGGTTATATGCACATCGGTGAAACTTGGAGGGAGTAATTTAGACCTTTTACTAATTTATATAAGAGCATCTCCAAGAGTCCTTCTAAAATTACACTCCAAATTATCATTTGCAGAGTCATTTTAGTAAAAAATCGTTTTTTATATTTTTTGTAGCCTTCAACAAGTTTAATATATCCTGTGTGCACTTTGGAGGGCCATCCTCGCTCTCTATCATAGTTAGTGAGAAATTCGAAACAGATGATGTCTATATTCTTATATTCAATTAAAAAAATGTTGAAGGGTATTTTCTCATCAAAATCTCTATTTCTATAAATTAGGAAGAAGATAAAAAGTCTTTTTAGAGTTGCTCTAGCTAATGGTTGCCTATGACCAGCCGTGTATAGTAAGTGATCCGAACCTGCCCAGAGTAAGCCCCCTAGAGGCAAGTGAAGTTGGTGAACCGTATGATGGGCAACTGTCTCCTGCAGTTCGGAGAAAAGTGAAGTTGGTGAGCCGTAAGTTGCAGAGGACCCTTTCACTCTATTTTATTATATACACTTAGTGAAAAGAATGTTTTTTGATAGACCTAGGACATGGATTCTATATGAACCAATAGATCGTGACAAGTCGTTACTACTAGCAATGACTTCATCCTTTCCATATCCCTCTCCCTTGTTCGATCTTACTCATCAAATGGCACTCAGTTCAGATCTGTAAATTCAATCATTTACAAGGTTCAAAGAAATGGCAGTGATGTTCAGCCCCAATACTGGTGATGATGATAGGAGAGGTGTGATGGATGCACTAAGTATCCGATTAGAAACGATGAATGAAAGATATCTCAGCCTGCTGGTTTACGTTGGGAAATCAAGGTGTAATGTGTTTGCCTATTTGAAAGAAAGGATCTGGCAGAGAATTCAAGGATGGAAGGAGAGGTTATTATCAAAAGCCGGTAAAGAAATTCTAATCAAAGCCGTAGCTCAGGCTATTCCAGTTTTTGCAATGGGATGCTTTGACATTCCAAAGGAAATGTGCACCCAGATCAGCTCTATGATAGCTCGCTTCTGGTGGAATAATCAAGATAAAGAAGGGAGTATGCATTGGGTAAGCTGGGAGACGATGGTTAGCACGAAAGCTGAAGGTGGTTTGGGTTTTAGGGACCTCCATTCCTTTAATATGGCGATGCTCGCTAAACAAGCTTTGAGACTTCTACAGAACCCAACATCACTCTGTGGTCGCCTTCTAAAAGCTAAGTACTTCCCGAATTCAGGTGTCCTGGAGGCATGGGCAAAACCGGGATGCTCTTATACTTGGAGAAGCATAAGTTTGGGTATAGAAACTCTAAAAGAAGGAATTATCTGGCGTGTGGGTGACGGCCGCAGCATAAAAGTTTGGGAGGATCCGTGGGTGCCAAGGGGTGTCACTAGTAAAGCCAATCACGCCGAGAGGAAGGAGTTTGATCCGTACTGTCGACGAGCTAATTAATCCAGCCACCGAGGAGTGGGACGTCGAGTTACTGAACCAGACCTTTTGGGAGGATGATGTTCAGGTTATCAGAACAACACCAGTCCATACAGAGATGAATGATGTGGCCGGTTGGCATTTTGATTCGAAGGGTTGTTTCTCTGTGAAGTCGGCAAACAGAGTCCACCGTGCAACTTTAGTTAGGAAACAAAAGCGACAACAGGGCGCGGGTTCTGGAGAGAGCAGTGCTGAAACTCGATTTTGGAATGATCTGTGGAATCTTGACTGTCAACCGAAGGTGAAACACTTTCTTTGGAGACTAAGCCACAATACTTTAGCTCTGAGGAAAGTTCTCGAGAGAAGGGGAATGAAGCTGGACACATGATGCTTCATGTGTGGCAGGCTAGACGAAGATGGTGGTCACCTGCTGTTCAAAGTGCAAAGAAGTGAAGAATGTTTGGCGAGAGCTGGATTTAGAACATGCAAGATGCAGGTTAGCTGAAGCCCAGTCGACGCGAGAAATGATGGAGATGGTTTTGAAGATGAAAAGGAAAGAACAACTCACGGTGGTCATGCTGTTATGGCTATGGTGGGGAGAGCGGAACAAGTGGAGAGAGGAAGGAAGGAGAAGAACTGCAACGGACCTTGCTTATGTCGCTGTGTTTCAAGCCGATCTAGCGCTGAAAACTGATGGACGGCTGACAAGATACTAACACATGGGTATGTTAAGCCTCGAGATCAAAGGTTCCCGACCAAGAGGCCTCCCGACCGACCCTCCAGAATCGCCCGGGGGCTATACCCATAAAGTACGCTCGCGCGCAACCTCAGGCCAAAGGAACTGCTTGAGCCTGAACGCAACCTCCGCCTTCGCTCAGGGCTCTGGGGCTCGACCGAGCCTTAGGCTCTCGATCGATGGGAGCTTGCACCCAATCCTTGGTCGCCTCCCGGCCTTCGGCACCAACCAAGGCCCGAGCCCAAAAAGGCGCACCCCGAGCCACCAAGGCTCGGGGGGCTCCCTGGCGCTGCTCCGCGAGCGCGGCGCTGTCAACCTCTCCTCTGACAGGGTCACGCACGGGGCGTGACACAAGAAGACAAACTCCTCCACGGCCTCCAGGGGCTCGGGGGCTCCCAGGCCCGCATGTTAGCCCCTCGTGCCGGCCTCTTTCGCCACCAAAAAGCCTCCAGAAGGCACACCCGGAGGAGGCCGATCCAAGCCGACACAGCCTGACACTCAGCGTGTTAGAACAGAGCAGCCGGACGACGCCCAGCACTTCTTCGGCTCCACGACATCGCTACGGCCCACAGAGCACCACTGCAAGACCCTCCTGGACTCCAGCGCATGTAGACTATAGGCTCAACCCCCCAAACCGCCATGTACCCGACATATCTCGATATATAAGGGATATGTCAGATCCTAAGAGGGGAAGGACGATCTGAGACCGATCATTCGCATCCTCACCGTTCCACTCGAGCTCTGCATCGAGAGCAGAGCAACCCAGAGAGGGGCACCGAGAGCTCCTCCACCGCATCCGCCGTCTTCCTCCTCTTTGACGAGGGAAAAGGCTCGACCGGTGGCGAGGCGACCCTAGGATCAGCATCGAGTGATCCCCTACCAAATCTATCTCTTTCTCTTTTATACTCTTTTGAAACCCCCGATTTTGGGTGCCCTTGAGTATAAGGATCATCAGCTG